ATTTTGATCTTCTAACCAATCAATAATAACCTTCCCATTTCAATAATTAATCCACTATGCTGCTTAGTAATAATTGATACTTTCATTGAAACACTGCCTTTTACATGTTCCATTAATATCACTTTATCCTTTATAATTGTTCCGATAGTGGAGCAAGCAAAGCCTAATGCTTTCTCAATGAATGATGGCATCTGGCCCTTCTCCCAATGCTTATTTCTACTTTCATTTCCATTTTAATCACATTTCTCTTTGCTGCAGGCTCACCTTGACTTGCAGCGGACTTTCACTTTGGAGGCATAGTCATAAGGGTAAACACAGACTCACAAAATGGAATAAAAACGTTAAGACTAAAGTGATGGTATGCATAAGCGACAGTGTAAACGAGACTAGCCACTACCATAAAGATGCTGCCCCAATGAACCGCTTACGCCATGTGGATTTGTTTACATGTGCAGAAGAAACTAGTTCCCAAATTATTAATTTCATTGTAAATTACCCTTACGGGGAGGCTCGGGAGCCCATTTGTAAGTGCGGAACGCCATAAGTCGGGTTGTCTGTAACCCTGGGACTGCCTGTAATTATAAAACAGAAGAGTAAGTGACCTAAGAGAGGTACCAGACATTGCTATGCAAATAGAGAAAAGGAAAGAATTAATTCTGTGTGCGAGAGTTGGCAAAGACTTGAGAGAGAAGGCTCTCAAACCATGAATAGGAACTTCATAAGTGGAAAAGGAGAAAGGTGTTTACAATGAAAATAATGTGTCTGAAAAAAAGCATGATACATTCTAGTGATGATTTTTCTGGAAAGTAAGTTAGCGGGAACAGGAAGAAATGAAGCTTGAAAGCTAGGTTGGGCCAGCTGGGATCTGGTGTTTAAACTCTTTTCTGTAGGCAGCGGAACCAGTGATCTTCCTGTGGACTATCCATAGAATAAAACCTGGTTTCTAAGAGCAGCACATGGGGCCTTTCCTCACCTAGCAGCTGCTCCCTCCCTTCCTTTCTTTCTTTCTTCACTCATTTATGTTTGTCACTTTTTCCTGAGG